CACAATCCTGTGGAAGGTTTCTGAGGGCAGAGGCTCAGGCTGAAAAGCTCAGGCTTAAAGGCCAGGTGGAAAGCAAGTATTTTTTTTTATTTGTTGCAGATTCTTTTTAATTGAAATCAAATTCACATACCCCAAATTCACCATTTTAGGTACACAGTTCAGTAGATTTTCTAGTATAATTACCGTGTTATGCAACCATCACTTGTATCTGGTTCCATAGTATGTTCATCAGTCCCAAAGGAAACCCTATACCCAATACAGTCACTCCCTATCACGCCCCTGGAAATCACCAGATCAGTGCTACCTAATACTATCCTTTGTTTTTAACATCTCACTGAGCACAATTTTTTCAAGATTCACCCATGTTATAGTCAGTACTTCATTCCTTTTTATACCTGAATAGTATTTCATAATACCATCTGTGTACATATACCACATTGTGTTGCTCATTCATCAGCCAGTGGACTATTGGGTGGTGCCAGGTTTCTGTTCTCGTGACTAAAAGGCTCAGGGGTCACTCTAGTTAAACTGGGCTAACTGGGCTGCACGAAATAACCACACAAGAGACACAAATACCTTTTTTGGGGGGGTTGCTGTGACGGCTCCTCTGACCTTAAGGGTCTGCAGAAAGAGAGAGAGCGAGAGCACGTGCTGACCCCTTTTATTGAGGAGAAGCTATTCAAATGAGGCAAGGGGTCAGGTTTCAGGGGCTGAGTCTGTCTTCATGATGTCCACTGTCAGCAGGTTGACTGACACCTGGGTAGGCCACACCCAAGGGCACAGTAAGAGAAGGGGACACACACAAGGCACTTCCATGGAAGATTCTATCCTAAACAGGGCAAGGGGTGATATTACAAAGGAACAGGTGAGCATAGCTTCACCCATAAGGCTGTAGCAAGACACACCCATGCACGAGACACCGACCCTCTAACCCAAGAAGGGTGGGGAAGCTCTGCCACATTTCTGTGACTGAGCGCCTTAGCACCCAGCTGGGGAGTGTGTCTCAGTCACGTATAAGGTTGGTCTCCCACACGGTGGTTTCTACGTTTTGGATATCATAACTGGTACTACTAGGAATATTCATGTGCAAGTTTCTGTGTGGACATATTTGTACCATTCTTCTGGGGAACTCCAAGTTTCTCCCTTGGTGGAATCTCCTCCCCTTTCTCACTGTCCCATTTTTCCTATCGGTGACAGTAGGGAATTGATTTGTTCACTATTAGCAATGTCAAAGCTTATTGTCAACAGGTAGTTAAATTATTTGCTGATCAAGTTGGTCCTTTCAAAGATTTTTGCTTTTTTTCAAATCACATGACACAAACTTCCCCATAATAATAATTTTAAAGTGTTCAATTCAGTGGTTTTTATTATATTCACAACGTTGTAAAACTATCATCACTATGTACTGCCAGAATAGTCTGATCACCCCAAAAGGTGATCAGACTATTACCCATTAGCAGACACTCCACTCCCTTCCCCAACCTACAGCTCCTCTAATGTGCTCTTTCTGTGAAGATGTCAGTTCTGGAAATGTCAAATGAATTAAATCATATGAAACCTTGTGATCATATGATCATGTGAAACCATATGATGCCTTGAAGCCAATTTTTAAAGAACAACTGAGGGGATGACAAGGCAAGTCAGATCAGAGTTCTGGCCTCTTCCTGTCCCTTGGGAATAGGAGAATGAAAGAGTGTCCATCCTTCTGTGGCCCCAAAGCTAGCCCCCTTTCACTGGACTACTTTTTTAGCCTGGGATAACTGACTGGACCTTTCACACCTTCTAGATCACTGCCAGCAGGCAAGAGAAGGAGATGGGAAGAAACTAGAAGCCTAGCAGTAAACCCCTGCTAACATAAGGACACCTAGGGCTGCAGACATTATGTGTTTATGGGAATGAAATTCTGATAGCATTGACCCCAAGCTGAGTTCCTTCTCAGGAGCTACAGGTTTTTTCACCCCAGGCTGTCCGCAGTTGGGGAACTGGGCAGCCTGCTTACAGAAGGGTTTCCATCCCTTCTCCACAGGACTCTCCTCTCAAAGCTGTGCAGATGTTGTGGGTGAACTTGATCATGGACACATTTGCTTCTCTGGCCCTGGCAACGGAGCCTCCCACAGAGTCACTGCTGCTGCGGAAGCCTTATGGCCGGGACAAGCCCCTCATCTCTCGCACCATGATGAAGAATATCCTAGGCCATGCGGTCTATCAGCTCACCATCATCTTCACCCTGCTCTTTGTCGGTAGGTTGGCCCCAGAGCGCACACATTGCAGCTGGTGTGTGCAAGGCATTCATGACACTGTGGCTTCCCCTCATGCTTGGGTGCTGTCTGGCACATGTCATCTGGATCCCCAGCCCAGCACAGGGTAGAGCAGGCCTGCTGCACACCCTTGGCCCTCACCTCCCTGCCAGCCCTCATTGTAGGTCTCCCACTGGACATCCCCAGGGTTGAGGTGGTAAAGACCAGAGGTGACTGATGCAGGGAGCACCCCCACACACAGCCACATCCTCAGCCCTGCCTCTCTCCTCCCTCCAGGGGAGCTCTTCTTTGACATCGACAGTGGGAGGAATGCACCTCTGCACTCCCCGCCCTCAGAGCACTACACCATCATCTTTAACACCTTCGTCATGATGCAGCTCTTCAATGAGATCAATGCCCGCAAGATCCATGGCGAAAGGAATGTCTTTGACGGCATCTTCAGCAACCCCATCTTCTGCACCATTGTCCTGGGTACCTTTGGAATTCAGGTAGGAAGGGCAGTTCCACATTTATTCTGTGCTGCTTTTGAGGGGTGGGGATAGAGGGCTTCAAGGCCCTAGGACTCCCCTGGGTCCTGGCTTTCCTGCCTCCAGGCACAAAACTAGTCTGGACCATCTTGGTTTTCCTCTTACCCATGACCTTACTGTGCCAGAGAGGGATTTAGTGGACCTGAATCAGAACTGACTTTTCTCACCTATGGCAGAAGTAGCCTTCCCTGACTCCCTTCCAGTCTGACATTCCTATTTCTGGCATCGAATTCCTTGGTGTGAGGCTACTGGAACTCCAGAAGGTTCTTTTGGAGATGCCAGCTGTGCCCAAAGTTGATGTACTGAATTTTACCTGCCACAGTGCAATGGACAAGTTGGACATCTCAGGTCCCCAGCAGGGGCTGAATGTTCTAAAATACACTGTCTTCAAGGAAAACTTGAGCTATAGTAAGGCTCACAAATTGGAAGATGGTTGCCATCAAAAGATGATTATCTTTTATTCATAATTATTCAGTGCTCACAGATCCCAAGCAGAAGGCATACCACACTACAGAGGCCATACCACAGAGGCCACTCAGAAGTGTCAGTCAGAAGGCAAAGGGAGAGAGAGCCATGGACAAAGACCTTTATTGTGGCTTCCCCAAGACAGAATGGGCAAAACAAGATCCACAGGCTTAGGACTGGCTGGTGTGAATCATTTTAGCCCACTCTGGGGCATGGGGGCTATCTGGGTTGTCAGACACTGCCCGGGGAGGGAGTTCAGGAATGGGCTCTGAATTGGTTGGTTTGTACTTCTTGAAGAGCTTGCCCCTGGGAATAGAAGCTTTCTGAGGTGGAGAGGGAGAAGGAGACAGGAAGCCAAATCAAAGTAACCTTCATGTTATGAGTTACCCAGCCCAAGGGCGTCTGGCATGTGCATGTGGACTAGGTATTAAAGCATCAGTTCATGAAAGCTGGAAATGTGCTCAGCAGAGCTGAGCCTCATCCAGAAGCTGGAGTCAGTGGGTACATAGCCCCCAGAGAGGATGTGGGGGTGGTATGTAAAGCTACATGCTGGCCCATCGTGTAAACCTTGGCCCTGTAGTCAGCCAGTCTGTGAATTCACCTTCACACATTTGTTGAGGCAAAAAGGTAGGGAAAGAGCCCCAGCAAAGGAAAGTAAGGCCCTCTCCCAGGGTGCAGCTGGTCTGCCTGCAGGAGTCAACAGTCCTCTGACTCTGACCAGGATGGCCTGGCTCTCAAGAAAGGCCATCTTGGTAGGCAGGACAGGTCAAGGGCTGGGGTAGATGAAGGGCAGCTGGGATATGTGCCAGTGGTCCACTGCTGTTGGATCCACCCCTTCCCATCCCTCTTCTGCAGATTGTCATCGTCCAGTTTGGCGGGAAGCCCTTCAGCTGCTCCCCTCTGTCCACAGAGCAGTGGCTCTGGTGCCTGTTTGTTGGTGTTGGGGAGCTGGTCTGGGGACAGGTGAGTGTCTTCCTAGTCAGCTTTCTCACTCTTCCATTTGGCTCTGCTGATGGCACCAGTGATGCCAGCAGTCCAGGCTGGCCTAGGGTCCCACCGACCCAATTACCTGCTCCAGAGCCTCAGAGCTTATACCTGGGAAAGTACTTGCATGACATGTTCATGTGGGGAGCTTAGCACAATAGGCTCAGGCCTGTGACATACCATGACTAAGAGGCAAGGCCTCAAAGTGACGGCATCAGCAGCAAAGGATCATGGCTGGGATGTCCCAGGGCCCAGGAAACAACCCATTGTTCCATTTTCTGTGATAGTAACAAAAAATTGCCCCTTAAGCCTGGGTGGCTTGGGAGCTGGGGCATAGCTTGGTGGTAGAGTGCTTTCATAGCATGCATAAAGCACCGGGTTCCATCCCCAGAAAAACACACACACACACACACACACACACACACACACACACACACACACACAAAAATTAACTGGGTGGCTTGGAAAATGCCACATATTTGAAATTAAACAATACCCTAATAATAATCTGCAGGGCAAAGAGAAGTTCTTGAGAAAACTTAGGAAGCATTTTGATCTGATGGAAAATGCGAGAACCACACAGTGATTAGATCAGGAAGACTCAGCCTGGGTGGCAAGAGTGAGCTCCTCCTGCCATGGATGCATAAGAGAACTCAGAAAGCATTTCTCTGGAGTTCCGGAACACTGGCACAGGAAGCTGAGTGCAGGATCCACCTCTCTCTGTGTCTTAGCTCAGGCTGCCATAACAGAATATCAAACAGACAGCTTAAATTACAGATGTTTATCTTGTCATAGCTCTGGGGGATGAAAGTCCAAGATCAAGGTTCCAGCCAATTCTGTTTCCAGTGAGGGTCTTTTCCTAGCTTGTGGCCAGCTGCTTTCTCACTGCATGCTCACAGGGCCAAGAGAAAAAGCTGGAGATCTCTGGTATCATTTAATTTAATCTCCTTCCTCCAAGTATCACGTACTTGCAGGGGGTGGGGAGTGCAGTGGCTACGGATTCAACATATGAAGTTGGGGGACACAGTTTAGTCCATAGTGCTCTGTATTTTGTTTCTTGATCCACTGGCATCACCCCAAGCCAGCCAGAGGGCTCCTGCAGTTGCTGCAGAGGCCAGACTGTTGGTACCTGGCATTAGTCCTCAGGGATGGCCTGCCCAATTCCTCCATCTTGTTTTTGGAATTCTCTTTCCATCTGCCACTGCAACTCTCTTCCCAGTCACACTTGGGCTTGGTCATCCTATGGAGTCCCTTGGCTTCCTATAGCCTGGATTCCATAGAGCCTAGATTCCACAGAGCCAGGACAGTGCCAGCACCTTTTTGATCTTTGAGCTCCCAGTTCCTGACACAGTGTCTGCTCTAGGCCTTTCCTAGGACAGGAGGTAACCAGCCTGAAACTTTGTCCCATAAGGCTATGCACCACTCTTTTTGTTCTTAACTGCTTTCAATGACAAAAAAAAATCATGTTAAAACCAATGGAAAGGAACCTCTATGAAAAGATCATCAAGTCCCCTCTCAGCCATGTTTAACAAAGTTCAGACACACAAGATGAACAGAGTAATCCACCATTCTCTGCCCAGACAGGGAAATAAAGCCAAGCCTTCCCTTCAGCCCTCCCTGGCTTTTCCTCTTCTTTCCCTTGCCAGTTGTCACCTCTCCCTCCCTGGATGAACCCTGATCTTGGCCCTTTTGTAGACTGAGCTTCCTCAGGAGATGCTGTCTCCAGGAGAGCCCAGATGTGAGCTTCCACGTGTCACTCCTTGGGAGTAGTATAACCAGCCACCATGAGGGACAGCATGTGTGGGGTATTGTCAGCTAGGAAGCTCAGCTCTGGTATCTAGGGATTTTCTTTGGGGTCTGTCACATGGGCCTCACTCTCCAGCCCCTCTGTGTCTCAAGGTCCCCACTGTAAATTAAAACGTTTGCATAGATTAGTGGGAAGCCAAGGCCTCCATGCACCACACTTCTTTCAGGCAGGATGCTCCAGGCTTCAAGATCCCTCCCAGGACCCATCTTTACTGCACAGCACTCTACAGATAGGCTTCTCTGACTACTCCTGGCCCTTTGGCAGGGACTCGATGGAGGAGTTGTCTGCCTGCAGGGAGGGGCAGTTTAGGAAACAAGGGTCTGCAGGCCCAGCGGGGGTGGCCTGAGACACCAGACCTCAGCCTATGTTGGTGGGAGGTGGAGCCTCTGGTCTCTTGCTGACTCCAGCAGAACCTGCTCTCATGGCCACCTCTGCTTGCTGTCTGTCCCTCGACTGTGGCCTCCACAGGTCATCGCCACCATCCCCACCAGCCAGCTCAAGTGCCTGAAGGAAGCTGGACATGGGCCTGGGAAAGATGAGATGACCGATGAGGAGCTGGCCGAGGGGGAAGAGGAGATAGACCATGCTGAGCGGGAACTGCGCAGGGGCCAGATCCTCTGGTTCCGGGGCCTCAACCGGATCCAGACGCAGGTAAACCGCCGTTTCTCTTGGCTCCTGTGGCTCTTCTCCCTTGAGAGGTTAGAAAGCAAGCAAGAAATAGAGTGAGTTAGTGGCCTGAGACCAATGGGGAAGCCACTAGGTCTTGCCCCCAAGCACACAGAGGCAGTTGCTAGGCTCCCCTTTACCATCCTAGGTGTGCTCATCACTGGCTGGGGCACTGAGATTGCCTCTCCCTGACACCTCCCTCAATGCCCAGGTGACCCCCCAGAGTGGTGCAGGTGCCAGCTAAAAGTGTGTGCTGGTGATCAGTGGCTGTGTCTCAGAGGCACCATCTGCTTTACTTGGTGGTGGCTGTCCCAGGTTGTGGACAAGTTGCTACTGTGCAAATGCTCATAGGTCAGGGCTGGTCAAGGCCAACACCATCAACTATAGCCCCTCTGAAGTCAGATGGGCACAACTGTAGTAGCCACTTGGGAAGGCTTCACAAGAGCCTGAGGGCTGAAACTACCCTGTTCTCTGTCTCTGTCTCTTCTTGGCCAGCCTTCCTGCCAGAATATTCCCTACTCACACACGGCCTCTCCACACAGTTCCCTTGCACACTCATGATCATACTGCATGCCACTCCCCAGAAACAGTTCTCCCTATGCTCTGCAAGGTCTCCTTCTGGATGCATTGTTACTGTTTCTCAGTCACCCTGTGGGATGCTGTTTGCCCTGCTGGCCCTGACACAGCTTGCTGTCCTATCTGTTCCTTGTTCTCTGTCAGCAATACACCTCCGGCTCAGCCTTGTACTGCCCCAGCCTTTCCATCCCACCAGGTCAGCCAGCCCCTGACACACTGCAGCCTACTGGTCCAGCCTGACCCCCATAAATTCTCCATGGCCCACCCCTACCCTGCAAGCCTCCAAATAGCTCACCATCTCTTCCTCATGCAAGGCCCTGTCCACCTTGTCTCAGGTGAGAGTCCTACTGCCTCTAACATAGGCCCAGTTGCTTCTTCTCCTTGGGGTCCTACCCAGGACCACCCAGCTAATTCCCTCTTGGGGGTCTATTTGGGCAACTTCTTGGGGAACAAACTGAAGCCAAACCCCTCGTCGACAGTGTCTGCCTTCAACTTGTCTGTCAAACATGGTCAAGGGCTCATCCCCCATCTCTCTTTGGTGCCCTAGGTCTGGTATTCCCTCCCAGCACACATGGCTGCTCCCATACAACCCTCAGTGGTCTGATGATGGGGCCCAGCCTGGCCACACACTTCCAGTCTCCCACCTACTCCATTGGCTTTGCTCAGCTCAGGCTCTCTGGCACTACTCTCTGCACTACAGCCTGCAGAACCTCTCTCTGTTGTCCTGAAGGCCCCTGAACATGGCCTTCAAGCCCCTGCCTTTTGGCATTTCCCTCCTCCTCTCCATGCCCCATGAGTCTGTTTGTCTTGCCAACATACATCCTCTCCTTCCCCGTGCCGCTGTGCATCCCTGCTTGCTGCTGCACCCCACCCCCGATTCTTCCATCTTCATGCTGCAAAAGCCAGCTCAGAGGCCACCTAAGCCTTGCGAAGCTTCCTCACATTCTATCTCCCGCCACTTCAGACCATCCATGCAACCAACCCAGAGCACTAGTCTAGGTACATCCAAATACCCTAGAGAACTTTCCAGAGCTAGATTCCCCAAGCCCACCCCTATGTAATAGGATTCTGCAGGGCTCAGTGAGGTGGCACCAAAGAAGTCCATGTTGAAAGAGTTCCCCAAGGGCCTGAGGGGTTTCTCCAGCTGGAACCTATCCCAGCTTGGCCAGGAAAGGACTTCTAGGTCTGCATCTGGTAGTGTCACCTCAGCCCAGAAGAATGGGAGCAGCCATTGGAGCCATGGCCTGAGTCTCCTCTCCCAAATGGGAATGCTAATGCCTCAAGCACAGTGCCTGAGACAGGCCAGGAATGCAGCACAGAGAGTTTTTTCTTATTCCTTGCAATGTAGACTTATGTGCTAAATTTAAAACATACCAAAGTTAGAAAACAGCCCTCACATCCTCTCCAGTGCCCATGTGGCCACTCAACTGTGCCATCTAGGAGACTGTGGTTATGAGTTCTCAGGACACCCTGCCCTGTTCTGGCCCAGGCAGGCGCTTATCTGTCATACTTCAGTTCCAATGCAGATTGCAGAGCTGGCCTGAGCTAGGGAGGGGTACAGCAGGACCTGGCTCCTCATTGGCTCATTTCCCTGATGTTAGCTTTTCTACCAGCTGAGACAGCAGCCCTGCCCTCATATGAGGTGTCAGTGGTAGCCTGGCCACCTGTGTGTGTGTGTGTTGTATCTTTGTGTGCTTGTGGGTTCCTGGACCTGCCACTGCCACCTGGTTACCAGCAATGGGTCCCATTACTTGGAGTCTTGGCAGTCCATGCCATTCTGACTAAATGGTTGTCTGTGCCCATATAGATGCTTTACAAGTGAGGAAATGGGGCCCCAAGGGAAGAACCTGGCCCAAGGTCACCGATTGAGAGCCAGGTCTGGCCAGGGCCCAAGCCTCTGTGCCTTCCCCCCCAACACACTTTATTCGGTTTAATAAAGTCACTCTCATTCCTCCATGAGCTCTTGACACCTGTGGCTTTTCGATTTGGCTTTGTCATGTCAAATTCACCATGCCTCTAAAGAATGCTTATTTCAGCTCAGTTGTTTAAGAACATCTTCTCCCTTTGATGCAAAATACATGCTTGAAAAACAGAAATGAAGCCGGGGAGAGGCCCCACAGATTATGTGTAAACCCCAAACCAAGAAAAAGAGTTTCTAGGCAGCCAACCCCAGATTTCTGGATTTTGTGAACCACAGAATTGTTCCCCAGGTTTCAGAGGCCTGCACAACTTTTTCTGTTGCTAAGTAACCTGCTACCTGCTCTCACACCTGTTTCATACTAACATATCAATATCCCAGATGGTAGAGTGTCATTGCAGAATAAAAGGAAGTCCTTCAAATCCAGAGCATGGAGCTTTTTGAATGTTCATGATATGATCTGTTGTTTTTTTTTTTTTTTTTTTTTGCATTCCATTATAAAACAATGAGAAGCAGCAGCAACAACTAAGCCTTGTTCCTGGCCTGGTGCTTGGGCTTCCTGTGGTAGTGGTGGGGTGATGATGCCAGTATCTTCAATGATGCGGTTATCCTTTGGGGACACCGTATGGAGCCAGGAAAAGCCAATGTGAATTTGAGAAAGAAGGGCATGTTTCCTGTCCCTCTTCAGTTTTGCTGCAGAAACAGTCCTCTCTTGAGAGAGACCTGTCTCTATAGCCTAGAAACATTTAAATCCGAGAGGAGACCCCCACAAGAGATCCCGACGCCATCTCATCGATCATCTGCCTTCCATGTGCTGATTCACTGCGTGGTGCCACCCACCATGCGCGCAGTACACGTTCCTCACGGCTGCAGTCACAGCTCTGAGTTTCCCTTTCTCCCAAGGGAGCCAGCGGGTTGTGCTGTGTGAAAGGGGCTCTGGGTAGGTGGAGTCGAGGGGTGATGAGTCTTTTCTGCAGTGCGTCCAAGGTTGAAATGGCATCCATCTGCATTTTGGTTGGGGAATTCTGAACACTCAAGCTGCCTTCCTCTGAGAAGCCCTGGCCCGAGTCAGATGCTCAGTCAAATCTGGTGGCCACTAATGGCCACTGCATAGCCTCTGCAGGGATTGAGGGTGGGCGGCTCCCTTTCATTGGCCTAGAGCAGGTAGCAAGGGTGCTTTGGGCTCCAGAAATGCATGCTGGCTTTGCTGCTCATGTCATCCGGTAAACTACATGGTACTTTCCAGAAATCAGATCCACCCTCCAAGGCCAAAGATTCTCCCCAGTGAGGTCATTCCCAAACAGGTGGCCATGACTGTGCTAGGCTTCTGGTCTCCCAGAGTCTGGGCATGTGGTCTTTCAGTGGGGGGACACTTGATGTGGCCAATCAGCTGAAGTCCCTTGCACTGCTTATGTCTGATCCACCCTAAGCCCCAACTCAATAAATAAAAGTCCCAGGCAAAGACAGGGTTGGAGGTCATCCTGTGGGGTGTATCCACATTGCTCTCCTATAGGTCTCACTTTCCACAGACCCACTTCCCTTTCAACTTCTGGAAGCTTCAGGGTGGAGACAAAGTAGAAGCCATGCCATCTTTGCTTCCCAATCCTCCTATCCTAGGAGGCTGTGGGTCTGTGGGAATTGAGTCATGACAAGACCAAGTGTGTGCTTTGGGAAATGCCTTCCTCCTCCGTCTAAATCCATTCTTCTGCTTGAGGGTGCTAGTTACCTGGATGAGCTGCAGAAGCTAGGGTGATGCCCCCACCCAGTGGAGAGGCCTCTTCCTAATGGGAGCATGTCATGTCCCTCAGGTGTGTTGGGGCGGAAAGAAAGGTTGAGAACTGCCGAAGTAGGATAACAAAGTATTGGCAGACACAGGTACTGACTGATGAGTGGCTTGCAATGAGCATATCGTGATTGCAAATGACTACTTCCAAAATGTTTGCAGTGTGCCCTATCTGTAACCTGTCCCTCCCAATCTGATGACCACTAATCATTTGCCCAGCAAACCCTCTCTTTGTCATGGCCTGGTCAAAAGCATCAGCAGCTCCCAATGAGTGGGGCTGACCTAGCTGAGGCTTTGCTGTCACGATATGTCCCCAGTGTGGCCCCTGTCCTCGCCCAGCCCCACCCCCTGCGGTAGCCTGGACCGCAGTACAAGCCAACCTTTATTTCGTTTTCTCTCCCACAGATGGAGGTAGTGAGTACCTTCAAGAGAAGCGGGTCATTTCAGGGTGCTGTGCGCCGGCGGTCTTCGGTCCTCAGCCAGCTCCATGACGTAACCAATCTTTCTACCCCTACTCACGTAACTCTCTCTGCCGCCAAGCCCACCAGCGCTGCTGGCAGTGAGTCTTGACTTCCCTTTTCTCTCATAAATGGCATCTCGGGGGAAGATAAAGCCTCCCCAACTCTGCCTTCTCTTTTTTCCAGTCTTGCACTTCTGCTCACCGTGGCTTTTCCGTTCCTTCTTTACTGCCCTGTCCAGTCCTTCCCGCCAGGCGGTGTGTCTCTCCAAAGCCATATTCTCTTATGA